CACCGCTACACTACAACGACAATACCGGCATGGTCCCCGGTGGCACTCAGCAGAACCTCCTTGTCCAGCAGAGGCTGCGGGGTCCAGGGGAAACCCTGCAGCACTGCCAGAACATGGACACCTCTGGGGGCCACCTGGGCCCACGTCCAGGCCAGTTCCCGGACATGATGGCTCAGATGCAGGCATCCTCCATGAGTAACTGTGGGCCTATGGGGCCAGGCGGCACACTGGTGGGACCTGACGGCATAGCGCTGGGGCGCCCAAACACTAACCCCCCACCACTATCGCATCCTGGCCCCCACCCCTCACAGCTTCATAGCATGGGACGGACTAACATGGTGATTCCACATGGAGGTGGTGATGGAAGCTGTACCCAGAGCGTCTCCGAGACAGGTGAGATGAGATTAAACCTACTACTAGCTGTATGACAGGTAGAAACAGGAGGAAGGTATGGAAAATGCTGAACATCAATAATCTTAATGTTTATTCAGGATTCATTACAACCTGTCACATTGTTCAAAACCTCCATCTAGGTAACACCATCTCTATCAAGGTATGATTTTACGCAATCTCAAACTATAAGGGAAGACGTTACTAGAGTGTCATTTACTGCCATGTATGTTGAATACTCTGGTGCTACGAAAGAAGTGAAATCTTTATCATTCAGAAGGGATGCATTTAATCTCCCATCGTGGCCTGTGTTCCAGAGAAGTACTAGTGGGGAATGGTCTGACAATGATTGGGATTAGGGCTGGGCAATATGAGGAAAATCTAATTTGATATTTCTTGGCTACATCACGATACACAATATATATCACGATATGGTTAAATAACCTCCAAAAAACAAATGTTATTTTAAACCATATAGTGCCTGAAATTGCACTGGTATACTCATTCAAATCAGCCATTCAATGTTGTTTGTTTTTTTAATTATCCGTTCGCAGCATGTGGGAGGGAGAAAAAAACCTTATAGTGAATTACATGCAGACAGCTTAATATTGCCATGGCAATTTATACTCGATGGTTACGATAAAGCCATTTTAACCATCGTGCGTAGAAAAACTTGCGATACATCAAGTATATTCAGTCCCTAATTGGGAGAATCTCAACATTTTTAATTCTATATATCTCTACTTGTGAGGTGAAAAATAAGTCTGTTCTAGTGTAGGAACAGTGTCTACTTGGGTAAAATGTGAAAC